TGTTAGGAATTGTGAGGAGAGTTCCAATGACACCTCCGCAGGGTAATGCAGTGGCACAACGCCGCGTCTGAGAAGACAGGTGCAGGGAGCAGTGGTGGAGAAAATGTCAGTGTGGGGAGGGAGTTGTATGCAGCAACGAAGAACAACTTTGAACCTTGCTGTCTTGTACCATGCCTGGCCCATTTCCCAGTGACCTTCCCTAGGGTTGTCTCAGAGATTTAGTCCTTGTCCTTCTAAAACTACTTTTTTCTTCCTTCATTGAACTGTGGCATGTATGCTTTGGAAGACCTGAGTTTTACCCATAGAAAAACAAGTTTAAAATGTGTTCACTTTGACCAAATAAAATGAAGGCTTTCTTCTGCAGTGCAATAGGAGTACACCATGTCCTGGTAACTCACTTCAGGTGGTGGTTATTCTTCTAGAGTTTAACAACAACAAAAGAAAATAAAGAACAAAAACAAAGAAAAAAGTTACTAGTTGTTGCCAAGTTACTGAAGTTACTGTTGGACTAACACAGGCTAAAGATGGCAGAAAAAATTCCTTGTTAGGGTGAAGAGGGGGGGAAAAAACCCACAAACCAAACCAAACCATGTCATGCTCTTACCTCCCCTGTACATCGAGAGAGATTCCAGGCCTTTGGTTTCCTGCCTACGAGACTCGCGACCATTAAGTCTCTTTTCCCCATAGCTCTCTTACTGCAATTGAGAGGTGCTGTGTCAGTGTGAGTGACAAGGTTACAAAGATCGCTCTCTCACACAGAAATGCCCTTGCCCTACACACCGTGACTGTCAGCTTGGGCTTTTTGTGCAGATGCTTTTGGCATGGAGCGGTAACTCCCAGCTGCTGTTCCGATGACGCATTAAACTGACGTCTTTCTTCATTTCTTCACTGCAAAGGGCCCCCAGGCTTGGTCCCCAGAGTTTCCGATAGTAACAGCAGGTTAGAAATTGAGAATGTCACTAGGTGCTTGGATTGAAGGAGAGGCCTGGCGCCGTGGCCTGGTTTAGGACCAGCCCTCAGGATTTCTGGATTCCGATTTGTGCTTGGCCCCTGATGCAGCGTGCAGTGTGCAGGTCACTCATGAGGGCGGCACTTAGAGCTCTGGTTAAAGTCAGCTTGGTCAGCATCCCTCAGTCAGGCTCTGCACGCTCTGGAGGCATGTTCTGCTCTGTCTCATGACCGGACAGGAGGGCTGTGTGCCATGTTTCTGCTTCTGAATGGATGTGGGAGAGAGGCAAGTCACCATCGGCCTGTCAGCTCTGCGCAGGCCCGGAGAAGGAGCAAGGCTTTGATGAGAAACAGGCCTTGGGAGAAAGATAAGAACCTGCCAGGCTGTGCTCAGGTGGCAGGGAAAAACAACGGAGAGCTGCAATGCTGAGCTGTGGGAAAGCAGCAAGATGCCTGAGACAGGGCTTATGGACGGTGCAACTAGTAAGACGGGCACAAGATATCATGATTCTGTTCAACAGTTCTCTGCCAGGGAAGGCAGCCGGTCTGCCGGCAACCTGACTGGAGAAGAGCTCGACCTTGACAAGATTCCGGTGTGCCCTTGAGAAGACGAGACAGACAGAGGGAAGAATGTTGCAAACAACTCTGAGGAAGTAAGGGGAACACAGATGGTAGCAACTAACCACCAATGTATTTGTGAAAAACAACTGTATAACCGATAGTCTTTTGCCAGGGCAGCAGAGAGATGTTATAAAAAGGCAGATAACAAAGGGGGTGTGCGTGTGTGTGGGGGGGTGTGTGTGTTTTCGCCTTGCATGCCAACTTAAGTGAAATTGGTCTCCTGTCGTTTTTTGACTGTCTCTACCACGACGACAGTTCTCCACTTGCTACAGGAATCTAAAGCAAGTTCTACTGCAAAGCAAGCGTTCCTGTTACCAGTTTGGAAGAAATCAATGTACCGTACAGTGAAATGTTTACCTTCAGATACTGGAAAGCACAGAGCAAACACAACTTCTGAGCCCTTCTATAATATTTTGGTGACAGCTATGTGCACAGGTCAATTTCCCTTCTCATATTGAAATTTCTGGTGGATGAATGAGGTAACTCTAAAGAATTGAGATGAGCTAGAGACGGATGGCACATTTCAATGCTTAAATACTTTACTGGACTGGGACTCTATGTTTCTGAACTCTCTAGCCAATAGTCCTTCTTCCTGCAGTCTCGGCTCGGGTACCCTCCAGACACTTTGCCAGGAAAATTTCACCTTAAACACTAGTATTTTAAACTCTTTTCTTCAAATTAGCTCTCACTTCCATCCTCCCTCTGGTACCCTGCAGGGAGCATGCCCTGAGAGCAACTCAACTGACCGACATTTCAAACCCATTCCAAGGTGAGCAGGGTCTACCTGAAGCATCATTAGTTTTTAGGGGTACATATGGTAAGAGAATTCCATTGTAAAGTGATAACTGTGGTGTAGTTGAGAGGAAAACAGACAAATTGAAACCTGTCATGCAGATACTGGGAAGTTAGGTGAGAAGAGTCAGGTGCCCTTGTTACTGAAATGACAAGTAGAAAGATACCTGGAAATGTGAGAAGTAAAATTCAGCATGTTTCTCGTTAGCTCTTTTGTTAGGGCCAGTTTTTAAAATAAGAGCTGTCTGCAGAACAGATGTATTTTGTCATGTTTTACGTTCTGAATATTTATGTATCTTCACACTAATAAGAGTGCGGCTAAAACCAAATCTTCATTCCAATTTTTTTTATTTTCTTGCCAAATGCCTTTTAATTCTCTTCTCTTGAATATTCTGTTGGTCCCTTAGTGCTTCCGTGGCTGCTGTTCTGGTTACCCTGGAGCACTCTCTTCTGCGCTGCTCTCACTCTCAGTTCTTATTTTCTGAACTACCGGTCATTTGCATGACTCTGTGCTGATTATCCTTGGACAACGCTTGCTAACCTGGAAAGATGTCGGTGGTTTTTAGAATTGCAAACATATCAGGAGCATTTAGTTACACCCACGAAGTGGCACTGTGTGACCATAGGACGGTTGTAATGGTAGGGTGCTTTTTAAACAGCCCCACATCTGCTCCCTAGCCCCTCCCCCATCGAGGCGGGGCAGCTGCCCACACCCTGTCTCTTATAC